CCTTGAGGAGTGCGAAAGGGAATGCGGTGCAGCACAGAACAGGGGTAAGTAAATGTTTATTGTCACTGCTCTATGCAAAATACCTCTAAACGTAGTAGGTCGATCTTTGCATGCACGATAGTCACTCTCCAACTTCTACATCTGGTCCGGCCGGAGTGATTACTACATAAAACAACGCCATTCTTTCACCTACTCTTGAAATGAAAAATGCATAGATAATTACACCAATAAGGCGCCTGTTGACCAAGTTAAGGGTCCAACTTTCCACTCCATGATGGAGCGCTTCTCCTGGATTGCCTTAAACCTTTCTAAGCATCAAGTTATCTCACGAGACCCAGAAATGGCATTCCTTTTACCAAAAACATAGCAATTTGACAAAAATGAAACATTTTTTCCATTTTTTGTGTCTGGTTTAATAATTAATGAGAGATGGTTTTTCGTAAAATTTGAGGAATTCATTAAAACAAAGACAAATTCTATGAAAAACGAATGCTCAAAAGGACCAAATTGTCTTACAAATATTATTTCCTACAGTTCTGTTCTCTCTCCGAGTGCCTGATAAGTGTTTCTTACCCCTGATAACTGGGACCTGTGGGAGCACTCAGACGCGATTTGGCTTCTATCCGCCCACCCAGCGCTGTGAGGAGTACAACTACAGTGGCTGTGGGGGCAACGAGAACAGCTTTGAGACAAGACTGGACTGTGAGACCGTCTGTAATGGTATACCGAGTCGTCAGATTCACATTGACACCCATTTCATAATTCTTATGGTGCATGACATCGTGATACTTCGTGCATCACTTTGTAGCGATTTCATAATTCGAGTCCTTTTGTTATGTGCATAAGGCGAAGCTAATCATCATCATTGAAATAATAACTGCATTGGTGGAGCACATGCCTACCCCTCCGTATGCTCCATTTCACATCACTTGCAATATCATGCTATACCGCTTGCATGGAGGCAAAGGCGCCATGGCAGCATGCATAGGTGGGCGTTATAGTGTGACAGCAAAATGAGGTGGATTTTCAGTTTCCTGTGCGAATACACAATGTGGCAAGAACGCCGTGTGCGTGGGTACCAATTGCGTCTGTTTGCCTGGACACGAAGGGAACCCACGGGTTGGCTGCAAACGACTTCGTCTCAAAGTGGGTAGAGGACAGTCTCAAGGTGGGCACGTCTTGCTAAATATTGAGCTACTGCATTCGTCACTACCCACATTGTACAGTCTTGATGAGCATAAAAAGCAAACTAGTATCTGTTCCATCTTTAAGGGAAGTCTGAAGGGAAAATAACTACCGAAAAGAGGTTATTATAGTTCTTTCTTTGTTACTTTGTAGCAGTTACTGGTATTTCCATGTTTTAAAATTTATCTCATATGCAGACCCGCCTAAGTTAAGTTGCGCAGTGAAGTTACTATAGAAAACAATGAATGATGTAGGAAAGAGTTTAGAATGACCTCACGGACTCTTCATCCTACCCTCACGAAGGAACAATGCCGACTATTAACTACGTGTAATTCATTTAAATAATAGCGCTTAAGCGCTCGGAAATCTGTTTCCTGCCTATTCGCACGGGTCCCTGCCACACCCGCAGCACACGATACGGATATTTTCCCCCACTGAGGAGGTGTGTTCGATACTCCTACGGTGGCTGTCGAGGCACTCTGAACAACTTTCTCACCGAGGTGGAATGCAAGCAATTGTGTAAAGGTATCCCATTGAGAGGCATGCTTCACCTCTCTTCCTTTCCTCCACCCCCAAAGGGGGGAAAGTGCATGTTGCGTCTGCATCTCAAGGCTCATATGGTCTTCTTCCTCTCTCATCAATGTTCTAGACTGGACACAGAATTCAGTTTTAGAAATGGCTCTGCATGAAGACGAAAATGAAGGTAACATGGACAAAATACTAACAGCTTCCATTCTGTACCCACCGCTGTCATAGCTCTTCAGTCGTTTGGCATGAAGACTTAAAATCATGCAGAATTTTTGGCATGTCATTGCTCGGGTACCTATCTTCAAACAGTCTCAACTTTGATAACTTGAGAAGCTGAACGAATTCTTCAAACAATCAAGCATTGCCAGATGCTAGCACTTAAACGTACCACAACTGCCTGTCTCTTAGATCCGTGTGAGGGCGTTCGCTGCGGCTACAACGCACGCTGCGTGGAAGGTCAGTGCGTGTGCGAACCCGGGTTCAGCGGTGATCCCAACTACGAGTGCAAAACCGAGAAAACGGGTAAGCCAATTTACGAGTGGGCCGAGAAAGTGCACAGACACCCAACACATTGCCCCTAATCTTCAATTTCGGTAACAAGCCATCTTCACCAATTAACCAAAAAACCCACTCAGCTACGCTATTATGTACTAACTAGCCATCGCGATGATGGGAACATCTGCATTTCATTCTATGTGCAGTTTGCGGATCGTCATCCATTGAGGGACAAAGCGGGAAGTGTTTAAAAGAGAGAATAAATAGATTTGGTTTACCTCACTTCAAAGATCTTGATTTTTTGAAGAGACAACTTGCCCAAGTTGAGATGGTGTAGTCCACGATTTAAATGGCTAAGTGGACGCAAGGCAAGGGTTGGCGGAGGGTCAGGTCTCCAGCAGGAGCCACGTCCCGATGACCGTACCGTCACTTCATTTCGAATGAAGGCGGATGTGCTTGTCGGTGTGTGAAAATATTCTAAATATTGAAGGACTGGATTATTTTTAGATAGGTGTGATGGTGTGCGATGTGGCGTCAATGCACGTTGTCAAGATGGCTATTGTGTTTGTGAGGCTGGTCATGAAGGTGATCCTTACCAAGAATGTCGACTTACTGGTATGTTTGGGCTTGAAATCACGTCTGCTTATTGCTCTCACTCGATATACGCTTTTGGTTAGCCTTTTGCATGGCATTTGGCTTGTTGGCATGAGGATTGGCTTAATTCCTTCTTTGCCAGCCATTGGATTCCCGACTTTAAAGCAGATGGACCTGCTTGCATTAATTCTTTTTATTGATACTGAGTCGTTAAGTCTCAGCTATGAGTATCTTAACACCTACTTAGTCAACTAATTGAAGTGGTATGTTAGGCATTTTGGCGTGCTTATCACGCGGTGTGGTTCTGCCTACAGAACGCCCGTGCGTGTCCTCACGACAATTCTGCCCTCGACGATAGTAAGCATTGCTGTGTGTACTCAGAAGTGATTAGATAAAGTTCTCACCACTTTGCGCCTTCAGGGCCGCTTTG